CGGTTGAGGGAATTACCTGGAAATGAAAGACGAGAACTGTTAGTTTGTAAATTTTTTGTTTTGTTATTTAATGAGAATGAATCTAATGACGCTAGCAATGAGAGAGTGCAATATGAAACTAGAAACACTAAGATGTACGGGGGAAAAACCAAGAAGAATATGGATTAGAGGATTCCCTGATACCTTGAGACTCAACAACAGGACAGCATACCAGCGACCGAGTGCGCTCTAGCTCGGAAACCAACCTGTTAACATATAGCGCCTTGCACAACAAAGAGGAATATAGACAAAAGAAAGAAATAAGAAATGTTATTGAGGTTACCTAAGTAAAGTCAAACATCCCCTTCCTCTCCTAAATAAGTAACTGATATATGCTGCTAACTCCATATTTATTTGATTGACTGATGGACGCCATGAGCTTTGTGTTGTGAAGACAACACCAGTCGCTTTTGCTTCGAGAACATTTTCTTTTTACTCGTATTATACTAGACGGTCCAGGGAATCAGCGTGCCGTAACAGAAAGAAGGAGAAACAGGCATACATATGTTAGGGTAAAAAAGGGTGCTCATAGGTCTTTTTCCAAATTTAGGAGCCTAATAATAATAATAATAATAATAATAATAATAATAATAATAATAATAATAATAATAATAATAATAATAATAATAATAATAATAATAATGGCATAAATATTATTAAAAGATATACCTGAAAAAAAATGGAATTTATAAAGACGAGAACTTAGACCTCAGGCATGAAAGTCCATTGCATCTGACCATCAAAAGTGGAGGATGGTGATCAGATGGTCAGCAGAAGCGGGTGACCCAGTGATAGCGCTCTGAGACGAAACTGACGATGAACCGGTATTGTTACTGTAGATGTGTTACTGTTCATTTTCAGGTGTGAAACAAACAAGGACTCTAGCCTGACCCTTCATTACTACAGTGCAAGAACTGGCCTCCATCCTCTTGTCAAGGGTAATTTGAAATGTGACCTCTAATGTAATAAAAGTGCTATTATTTGCGAGGCCCTATACATCCTCCTAATGTCATCGTTTATGAATAATAGCAGGGTTATGATTTATGAGCTGCCCTAATGTTATTATGTATGACTACTCACTCTGGCTGTTCACATTTATGACTGCTCTCGTTGTTTCTGATGTATAAATTCTCTATTTTATACTTGATCACTGTCTGCAATCTGTTTGAGCATCAATTGCTCTTTATATTTTCTTTTTTTCAAAGCTGCCCCCATGGTTATACTTTAAAACTAACGACCTGCCTTTAATGTCTGTTATTATTGTGACTTACAACCCTTAATTAATAATATACTAAACTGTCACAGTTCAAGCCTGATCGATTCATTTCAGTACGAAATCTATTTTTCTGGTTTTAATTTGCATGAAAATATTAAAACTGGATCAATTATAGCGTTTGCGACAGTATAAATAATATAAACTAGAGTATACATAATATAAACTAAAGTATAAATAATATAAACTAGAGTATAAATAGTATAAACTAGAGTTTAATATAAACTAGAGTATAAATAATATAAACTAGAGTATAAATAATATAAACTAGAGTATAAATAATATAAACTAGAGTATAAATAATATAAACTAGAGTATAAATAATATAAACTAGAGTATTCATAATATAAACTAAAGTATAAATAATATAAACTAAAGTATAAATAGTATAAACTAGAGTTTAATATAAACTAGAGTATAAATAATATAAACTAGAGAATAAATAGTATAAACTAGAGTATAAATAATAAAAACTAGAGAATAAATAGTATAAACTAGAGTATAAATAATAAAAACTAGAATATAAATAATATAAACTAGAGTATAAATAATATAAACTAGAGAATAAATAGTATAAACTAGAGTATAAATAATAAAAACTAGAATATAAATAATATAAACTAGAGTATAAATAATATAAACTAGAATATAAATAATACAAACTAGAGTATACATAATGACATTAGGATTTAGGTTTACATAATACACATATTAAAAAAAGAAAAGGAGAAGGAGAATTATTATCTTAAATGTTTTCAATAATATAGAGTGTAAAAACGTGTTACAAAGCACAACATCATTTGACACGACATAGAAAACTATCATATGTCACAGCAAAGCATGTCATATGAAACAGCATATCGCAGCATATAACACTGCTTAGTACATGCAACGCATAATAGCACCACATCATATGACACCGCTTAGACAAACGTCATATGACACAGCATAGAACAGCATATGACACAGCATAGAACAACATCATATGACACAGCATAGAACAACATCATATGACACAGCATAGAACAACATCATATGACACGGCATAGAACAACGTCATATGACACAGCATAGAACAACATCATATGACACAGCATAGAACAACATTATATGACACAGCATAGAACAACATCATATGACACAGCATAGAACAACATTATATGACACAGCATAGAACAACATCATATGACACGGCATAGAACAACATCATATGACACAGCATAGAACAACATCATATGACCCAGCATAGAACAACATCATATGACACAGCATAGAACAACGTCATATGACACAGCATAGAACAACATCATATGACCCAGCATAGAACAACATCATATGACACAGCATAGAACAACGTCATATGACACAGCATAGAACAACATCATATGACACAGCATAGAACAACGTCATATGACACAGCATAGAACAACGTCATATGACACAGCATAGAACAACATCATATGACACAGCATAGAACAACATCATATGACACAGCATAGAACAACATCATATGACACGGCATAGAACAACATCATATGACACGGCATAGAACAACATCATATGACATAGCGTAGCACAACATCAGATGACACAGCGTAGCACACACGGCACAGCCCAACCTGACTTAGAATCTGACTCCGTTTGTGACTGGAATCACTGGCATATGCGGTTTAGCAATTATGGGCCAAGCTCTTTTGCTGTGATGCCGGAACCGTAACGACTAACGACTAACTATTCTAGCACAACCTAATTTGACACAGAATAGCACCAACGTATATGACACCGATGGCACATACTACACACCATTGCGCTTCTTAATATACCACAGCAAATGTAACATTCTTGTTTCCAGAACCACCACACGTTTGTCAGGAGATAGGATAGTGCGTGTTAGTTGAATGGACCAAAAATCACCGAGTTTTAGCAGCCTTGACATTCCCCTTCTAGAACCTTCACTTGTTTGCTAGCAGAGAAGAATTCTGCAAATGGTCCATGGTCAATAGAGATACATTTGGTCGAAAATTACTAAGATATTAGAGTCGACTATCAGTGCGTTAGTATCAGACACCACTAGAAGCCAGGTGGCAGTTACAAATACACAAATCAGTAAACAAAGTAACTAGAGATGAAGAACACAACGTTACATCAAGAGTATATAACTATAGAGCGAAGTCAGCTGCCACTCAAAATGCTCTGGAGCAGGACTGCAGTTCAGAAGCGGACGAACAACCAGAACTTTCCACCAGAGTGTACAGCTGGTGAACGCGAAGAAGAAGAAGATTGATCTCATTAAGAAATGACAATAAAGACAGTAAAATAAAAGGAATAGTTCTTTCAAGACATTTTATTATACAACCATCAGAGTGACGTAAGATGCTTGCAACTAACAAGACATCATCATCATCATCACCACTATCGACCCATCATCTTTCTCCTCTTCTAAATTCTCTTTCAGATGACTCCTCCCGTAGCAAACAAAAGACGAGCCTGGGTGTGACATCAACATACACAAAGAAGAAAGCTGTACTACACATAGCACATGTGATACAGCATATAACAACACCACATGACATAGAACAGCATACATGACACAGCGTAGCACACATGACACAGCAAATCACAACATCATATAACACAGCATTTCACAATATCATATGCCACAGCTTAGGACATATGACGTAGAATAGCACATATAATACAGCACTGCACACATGTCACAGTATATAACTGTGTTATTGGTTGAACAGGGTTTCTGAGATTAGCTCCAATTGTATTTGCATCTGAAAAATGTCACTTCAGTCACTGGATGTCAGTCTTTTAGACTACAGTCAAGGAAAAGGGGTTGGGGGGGGGGAGGGGGGGGGGGCGAACATGAAGAATCCTGACACCTGGGCTTTTTTTTTTTTAATTTCTTTCTCTGGCAGTATGCAGCGGTGCTCAGTTCCTGCGCGGTTTTATGCAGTTTTGTCACAGTTCTATTTTTAAGTTTGATGTGTGTGTTAATTCCTAAAATCTCAGCCAATACAAAAACTAGACACATGACATTTGGTGTGGATACTCCTTAAACAGCGGCGTCCGTGGCTAAGGCGTTGCGAGTTCGACTCGTGAGCCAGCATACCGCGATCGAAACCCATTGCAGGTTGCGTGGATTTTTGTCGTGGTATGGGACGTCGCAGGTCGACCCAGCCTAAAATGGGTACAAGGATGGGCTGTCCTGGGAAAGTAAAGACAGCCGGCGTGCTGACCACATTACCCACAGATGGTCTGTAAAAATATGGGACGCTATATGCCCGATGCGCCGAAAGACGTGAAAAGGGAACTTTACTTTTTGTTACTCCTTAAACAATATTAGAGGGACAGCTCGATTTCAAAATAGATGTTATATAGTGTTTTTTTTTTTAATTGGGTAATATCTTATGGGGCTAAGTTGTTTTTAACCTCTTTAACAAACCAACATTTTAAAATTCTAAAAAAAATCAAAAATAAATATTTAGAAGTACCTTTCAATGAAAAAAAATCTATAATTGGAGCTCAACGGAGGATTAAAGTTCAAGAATCCATCATTTGTTTTCCAAAACGTATGCTGGTTTTTGAAATTTTAGGATTCTAAGAACATGCTGTTTTGTTTCCAAGATGGCGGCTGTTGTCATGACAACCATGATTTTTAAAAACGCAGAGTATGAAAATATATTCACAAATATCCCTACAAATTACCATTATAAATTACCTGGTCTGAGATTGTAAAAAAAAAAAAGAAAAAAAATCGGTGTAGTTAGTTGCGTATCCTTTACAGAACGTTGCAGAAACAATCCCAGCAGTATCTGGCTGTTGTGGGTTTTTTCCTAGGCAAAATTGCGTCCAGTAGTTTGCCATTGCTCTCTGGACGGTCGGTTTCTCGATACCACTGTCGAAACCAACGCAAGACGCAAGGCCCGCATCTTTGATCGAACCTGGCACCCCGGAATTTGAAGCACGTTCTCAACGCCGGTGCCACAGACACAGACTAGTAATGAGTACCGAAACCGTTTTAGAAAGCGAGTGAACAGTGCCGAGGAACAGATAGATGATTACGGTCTGAGGAGAATGGCACTGCGAGGAGTTTCAAGGGGATCTGGCCAACGCTCGACACTCAGGGAAAAGGCGAGACGGATATACAATCAGACACTTACTGGTTTTATCCGAATTATAACGTTTCGCTGGCTGCTGAAGACGGGGAGGGACTTATGGCGGTGTCCCGAGTGCTGTGATGTCGATTCTTAATTTAACATTCAACCGTTTTAGGGTACATTGTAGTGACTACCTTCACCTTTTTTCTAGATTAAAAGCCCTCACTAATATGATGTGCTGTACTTTGTTGATCCTGCAACAAACGTAACAGGTGGTGAGCTTGATAACGCTGTCGTCTTGCTGAATCGTGTATTTGTTGTTTTTTGTTTTCACATCCTGTTTTAGGAGTTCTGAAAGCTGTAGCCCGAGAAATCTTTGACCAGGAAGTGGAGATAGCTATGATCAGCGAGGTCACTGAGAAACTAGACGACGAGCGGGAGCAGAATCACGTGACATTTGTAGTGAATATCGTCAAACTCGGACCAGACGGTGTAAGGGTGGCAAATGACAAGAAAGTGCTAGAAGACAAGACAGTGGTTGAAGATTTAGGGTAAGCGACTCTTCTGCTGCTTCTGTCATTCAGTTTTATATCCATGTGTGAGTTCCTTGGCACCCATCTGAAAAGGGTCGAGAGGGAAGAAAATAAAGGGTGGGGGAGGGTGGGTAATTTTTAAATGGATCAGGGTTATGGAAATATTGCTCTCCCCACAGAAAGTAGGTCATGTTCCGTTGATAAGTTTGGTGGACTAGTCTACCGTGGTCGAGTTTATGGGTGTGGCGGTCTGTTGTGTTGCATTAACCTGTTTTTTTTAACCCAGAAAGAGACTGCCTGTGACAAAGGTTTTATCACTTTCTAAAGGGGTTGTGTGTTAGTCCCAGTTGTCGATGTTTTTGGAGTATTAAAACCTTTGGCATGGTGAAACATACAAACGCGATGTCAACGGCATTTCAGACCCCCCGCCCCCCACCCCCATAAAAGTGAACCAATGACGCGTGGCTCGAGGTCGACCAAACACAAGCTAGCTAGGCTAAAGGTCGACGAATCAGAAATGAGCTAGTGTGTATATGGGCGCTCGGTGGGGAGACCAATGTAACTGTTTCCATGGATCAGTTAAAGTAAGGTTTTCAGGCCCAAACAAACCGTGAGTTGCCGTTCATTCATGTCTTTTAACCTTTCAGGCGTTTTTATCTAGGTTATAGAGGAGTCAGGTTGTGTTCTGCCATGTATATGTTGGCAGACGGACAGATACATCTTGTGTTTTACTGGCTGTTCTGAGCGACTGCGTATATTCTGGCGTTCTTGGGCTTCAAGAACAAAATTAATTAACTTCAGTAGTCAGCTAGAGTGCAGTCTTTCGTGGGACTTAGGCTGAGCTTGTGTGACCGGGAGTGGGGGGGAGGGGGTGCGGTTTAGGGCCAGTTCTAGATATTCTGGGGTCTTCATTAAAGCCGGTAACAACCTATAATATACAGCACTCATTATCGACGGTGAGAGCGTAGACACAATACAACCTGACACCCCTGTAGCCTAGACAAGCGGGTCTCAAAGGTTAACATGAATGAATGAAGGGCCCAATCACCGTGTGCTTGGGACCGGAATCGTTAGTTGTACCAAGGGATCCACTTCTTTTAGGAAGCCTGTTGTAAAATGACATGGGTTATTTTAATCGGGTGTGATGAGCCGAAAGAAGTGTCGTTACATGACTATACACCAGAACGCCGTTAGAAATCTATCATTAAAGAACGTAGCAGAAGAAATAGCAGAATACACACATTACATGCAAGATGGCCGAAGACAGCCAACTTGGGGCTTATAGTAAAACCAAATGGGGATGAATGAATGAAGGAATGAATGATTAGATGAATGAATGAATGAATGAATGAATGAATGAATGAATGAATGAATGAATGAATGAATGAATGGCATTACCAAACTTGGAAAATTTCTCATGCTTGCTCTGTCCTTTTTCTCAGTTCCCAAATAAGAGTTTCCAAATTGTTGGTACCAGTTGCAACCTGAGTAAACATTCGACTGTTTTGATTCTTTTCTTTTGTGTATAGAAAACCATCCCAACCCTCTACTCACTCCCGGCTAACTCTCTAAATAAGGATGAATTGTCTGTTTTGCTTGTCGAAAGTTAAAAGGCGTAGGGCTTTCCCTTCATCTAGTAAAAACGCACCATCTGTTAACTATACATTTTATAAACAGTATATATTTATGTATGCACGCGTGTGTGTACATAACAGGGGGAGCTAAAGTAATGTTTTACTGTGCCGTCGGAATTAATATACACGTAATCCTCAACTTCGTCCATTTTATAAATCCTTAGATCTCCCGTGGCTCTGACAAAAGGACAGTTTGTCTCCATTTTCCCTTACCACCTCATCTTTGACGAAGCCCTCCGCCTTCTTCAGTTCGGTTGTTCAGTGGCCAAACTGTCTCCTGTCCCACTTACAGAAGGGATGGACATGTCATCGTCGTTTCGCATCCTCTACCCCAGGATGTCATTTACTGTAGCCAACATACAGCAGTTCATCAACGCTATTTACGTTATTGCAGTGGACCCCCACGACAGTCGGAACAACAGCAACATATTCAGCATGAAAGGTAGGTTAATTCTTTCACTTGATAATTGCTTGTTAAAATCTATGTTCGTCTTTCGAAGAGTGTTTAGGGCTTAGAGGAAATAATTACAACACTCCAAAAGCACCGTGAAGAAGAATTTCTGCCAATTCCAGGTTGTTGTTGCTCCAACGCAGTCTGTTCTAATGTTTTTGTATCTCAAAATTGTCCTGGCAAGTCCAGGTTTTAGTTAAAGGGGGATTGAAAAGAAACTAAGGTGTGACTTACACAGGTCTCGAGGCAGAGTATGCACTTGGATACGTGAAGAGACGTGATGCACTTTGCTGTTAGCACGAGTATCGCTCTGTTAGCAGGGGTATCGCTCTGTTAGCAGGAGTATCGCTCTGTTAGCAGGGGTATCGCTCTGTTAGCAGGGGTATCGCTTTGATAGCAGGGTTATCGCTCTGTTAGCAGGGATATCGCTCTGTTAGCAGGGGTCTCACTCTGTTAGCAGGAGTATCGCTCTGTTAGCAGGGGTCTCACTCTGTTAGCAGGAGTATCGCTCTGTTAGCAGGGGTCTCGCTCTGTTTTAGCAGGGATACCGCTTTGTTAGCAGGGGTCTCACTCTGTTAGCAGAAGTATCGCTCTGTTAGCAGGGGTCTCGCTCTGTTAGCAGGGATATCGCTTTGTTAGCAGGGGTCTCACTCTGTTAGCACGGTTATAGCTATGTTAGCAGGGATATCGCTTTGTTAGCAGGGGTCTCGCTTTGCTCTGTTAGCAGGGGTCTGGCTCTGTTAGCAGGGGTCTCGCTCTGTTAGCAGGGATCTCTCTGTTAGCAGGGGTCTCACTCTGTTAGCAGGGGTCTCGCTTTGTTAGCGGGGATCTCGCTCTGTTAGCAGGGATATCGCTTTGTTAGCAGGGGTCTCACTCTGTTAGCAGGAGTATCGCTCTGTTAGCATTGGTCTCGCTCTGTTAGCAAGTACTGCCTTGTTTGAAAACATGCAAAAAAACACCCTCAATAAAACTGTCTAGACCAGCGATTCTCAACCTGCCGGTCGCGACCTTTTTTTGGTCCTACGACCCTTTCACAGGGTTCGCCTGAGACCATCGGAAAACACATATCCATTGAAGTTTGGAGGACAATAATTGTTTGGGGTCGTCGCAACATAAGGGAACTGAATTAAAGGGTCGCGTCATTGGGAAGGAGAAAAACTGCTGGTCTAGATTTAATGTTATAGTAGTAGCAGTAGATTTTTACCCCACCAGGACATCACACAAGCGATAAACACCGGATGACACGAAGTGCCACCATGTGGATGAGGATCACCGTGGAGAGGTCCGAGAAACCGCGTTCAGCCATTAGACCATATTTATGGTCGGGCTATATTGCGGCCCCTAGAAAGAGCCAGGGTGGGGCTTCAAAATAGAGAAAAAATTACATCTCAGAAGGGGGATGACTGGATATAATGTTTTTAATGTTATTATGCTTTGCTGTTTATATTCTCAGGACAGATGATCTGGTTGGCTGATTCGAAGCTGATGATATTCATTGGCTCTCCTCGTTTGACGTCATTAAAAGAAATGAAAAGAATGAATGTTTTCATGGCCGATATCCCCCTCTATGACGTCACTAGGGAGATGGTTCTCTTGTATCAACAGAGAAATGCTGAGATAGATATTACGTAAGTACCTACAGAATGGAATAGAAAGTGAAAGTGAGAGAGAGAGACGATACCCGTGTATGGATTCTGGTGCTCTTTGTATGTGGGAACAAGATTAGACTGTCTGACCCTTTTCAACCATGCCGCAAAAGACAACTAATTAAGTACTTTATTTTAAATTTAATGTGCTGGGTCGCATCGCTAGCTGTAAATTACAACACAACCTGCCAACAGTCCTTTCAACGGTGAAAGAAGACAAAGAGAGGGAAGTCATAGTAGATTTGCCTGAAAGGCTATATTTTATGTTTATTCAATGAATCAACATCATGGCACAAGGGTAGTAACCCATTAGTGCTCCGCTCTTCTAACTCAAGCCTAAGTCTGAAGAATCTCAGGGCAGTGCACGAGCTCTGCTGCACCGGCGAGGATCCTGAAATGCTTTGAGTAGAATTTAAAATCTAAATTTTGCCTTGACAGCGCCGTTAGACTACTCTTTTCTTTACATGCGCAACGACATACACGGCATTCGATCTTACTACCCAGATACCAGGAGAAATTACTAAAACTCCAATTGATAAAAATCCTAGTTCTCACTGGGGTTTGAACCAGGAACCTCCAGCACCCGCGACCACTAGCTCATATGAAAGGCTGTAAACTAACAGTCTGACTACACGTAAGCCAGATCTGTGAGATAGATGTGAAAGCAAAATGCAAACTCTTGAACAGGACGTATTCCACGGGTTGCAAAAATATCAGAACTTTCGATAGGAGTTATAAGTCCAGTGAAATCTACAATTCACCATGCGGAGAGGAAATGCTAGTCACATACATAAATGGAGACGTTCATATGTACAGCAGTGAATTGCTAGGGCTCGGAATGCAGATTAAAAGGCTCGTTTGCTTTTCTTCCAATATAACTTAGGTCAAAGTTGTTAAAAAGAACAAGATGCTAATTTTATCCTGCATGATTCCATTACAAAGACTGTATGTACTTCAATGAACATTTGTCAAAGTTGTTAAAAAGAACAAGATGCTAATTTTATCCTGCATGATTCCATTACAAAGACTGTATGTACTTGAATGAATATTTAAGGATAGTCGGAGAAGAGGAGGGCGAAGAAGTACCTGGAATGACAACATCAAGAAATGGACAGGACTAACTTACAATTCATTTGTTCATCAAGCGTAAGACAGAGACAGGACAGAGAGGACATGAAAAAACTGCATTTCATCAAATGAAGAACATCTTATGCAATATATTTTTGTCTTTGAGAGTCATAAAAATAATTCTTGCTTGCTACATACATTCAGTTTTAACATATGGCTGTGAATCCTGGACAATCCGAAGGCAGGCCAATTTCTTGAGGCCTCAAAGATGTGGTTTTTATAGAAGAATGCTTAAAGTACCTTGGACAGCCACAAAGAGCAACCAAGAGGTTTTGAAAGAGGCGGGAGCCAGAAGACAACTTATCACAGACATAAGGAGGAGACAGTCATCATTTTTCGGCCATGTTATGAGAAGAGGAAAAATAGAACATGCTGTGACCACTGAAAAGATCTGTGAAAGGAGGGATAGAGAAAGACAACGAGAGAAGATTCTTGAGTCTTGTTGCAAGGCCTGGAGGTGTCAGCACACGAACTGATACATGCTGCAGCAGATCTCAGATTATGGCGAGGCATGAATGACCACGCCAGTCGGCAAGGCACCTCGTGATGATAATTAAGAAAAAGAAAGATGGCGAGGCTTGTATGCTAGTTCTTCCATCGATGCACCTCCACGACCCTAACGGGTCAAGGGCTGTGTTACATAATGTTTATCCTGCAAACAGTGACGTCAATCCTGTTTTGTAATTATATAGTAATTTTCTGGTTTTGATGAAACCGCAGAAACATCAATTGTAAAAATATTATAACCAAACATTTATTTCTTTGACTCCGCACATATGTCTTTTGTTTCATATGTATGTAGTTTCGTATTATTGAGCTATATATCAACCAGCATCTTTCTTGTGAGTACAGAGACGCCACTGGGTTACCTTCTTTATCTTCTTTATTATTTAGTGTATGTTTTCAGATATATTTGCTTTGAATAAGACAGTGATATTAGAAAGATATCGACAGGCAAATAAATGATAACTCAGAGAGCCGAGTTTGTACATCACTAGCAGGGCTGTATTTATGTAACGTAGATATCACCTTGTGATCTTGTGTATGATTAAATATATTGACTTTTAGCTAGAAGCTTTTAGAACAAAGTCAGCAGTCTTCTTTGTCGTTTCACCTGTTGCCGGTAATAGCTTTACCTACAGTAGATCCACGAGTGGTCTTGTCACGTTTTTGTCTTGTTCTGTGTACGTGTCTGGCATTGTCAGTGCAGTGTGTAGAAGTATCAACTGATTGTGAGACACACACACACACACATACACAACAGGGGCGATGGAATATGAGTTTTGGTACCTGGCTCCCATACCCTCTTGAAAGGGCGGATGGTACGTTGATCTATGGTTTACAGCTAGTCTCACATATCTACGCCATTGTGTCCAAAACTTCTTACACCCGGTTGTTAGGAGGAAGTTGCGGGGTGGGGGGGGGGTGAGGGGGGGGGGGGGTCTGAGCCTTTTTAACTTTTAGAGCACCCATCGCTGTTCCTCACAAAATGTGCACGAGGGCTAAGTAGTTTCTCTTCGTAAGCCATTTAGGGCTTACAAGCTCGATTCCCGGCACGGTAACTATAGCTTTCAATTTGTACGTTCTCTAGTGTTTCCCTCTATCTTTCTACTTCTTTCTATGAGCGCCGATCAAAACATTGTCCGTTCGTTTACCAATCCTTATAATATTAGATCCCTTAGAATGTCGATGTTTTTGTTCTTACTGCTTCGTTTAACCGTAAGTATAAATTATGGTACCCTTAAATTGAGGAGCGGCTGGCCGAACGGTTGGAACGCTGGGCTCTCAAGCGGAAGACCCGAGTTCGAATCCTCGGTAAGGCTAGGGATTTTTTTCTGTCAGGGGCACACACACACACACACACACACACAAAATTCTCACCTGCACAGTCGTGGCGACAGCACTAGCCATGCGGCCGTAAATCCCCAGGCTCAAAGACCTCCCTGCTTACACCCCATAAATGGTAATAAAACAACAGTTAGGGATCTTTAAAAATAGGTGGCGAAAATAAGACTTACCACCTCATCTCATATCTTAAAACCACTTGAGGATATAACTCTGTTACATTTTTTGATTCTTTTCTAAAGGGAAGGAATCATATAAAGGCAGCTTCGGAATCAGTGTATTGCTGTTTAACTCCCTTATATCAACGGTCAGCGTCTGTGGCTTAGGCTTGCGAATGCGCTTCGTAATGCCGGGGTGCTGAGTTCGATTCCTGATACGGACGGTTTGTCTTGTGCTGGTTTCAAGTGTGGTACCGAGAGCTGACCGCTGAGAAAGCAATGGCAAACTACTAAACATAACATTTGCCTTGAAAATAACCCACAACAGCCAAAGGGGGAAAAAAAACGCTAGTGTTGGTTCTGCAACGTCCTGTAAAGGATTTGTAACTAACTTCAATATCAACGGCTCAGCTTGTAATTATTTTTTTTAAACAATGGTTTTCTTATTACAGTAACACGAATTTGCATAAAAAGAACACTTCATTATTATGAACATTATTTTGCTCATGACAAGAGTGAATAAATCTGAGTCTACTGTTACCATGAATTTTTTAAACACGAACTTGATGTGTCTGTCTTTTTAAATTCGTGTTAAAGAAGTTTGCATTATTGTTGTTATTATTTTTATCATTATTATTATTAGCAACCTTACTTCAAATCCACCCACTATGTGAAGCAATTTTTGTATTATTTTAAAGCTTATCCGAATTGTGGCACTTTGTGTTACCGGATGTTAATCACTTGTTGTGATATCCTGGTGGGGTTAAAGACACTAACAGAGGATCTGGCCGATACTCCACGCTCAGAGGAAAGGCAAGACAGACTTATGAAAATAATGCTACTGGCTCTATTGGTGTTGGAACTCTGCGCTGGGTGTTGTCAAAAGCCCTGATATAACCTGACTGTTGAACTGTGTTTCTGGAGTTAGCGCCTCTGATATTATCATCCGAATGGTGGCAGTAGGTGTTACCGGGTGTTGTCGGGAACCTAATTGTCCCTGAATCTAACACAATCAAACATCAGTCACAACCGAGCAAGCGTCAAGAGTCTAGAGTCCCTCCTGCACAGTCCTTTTGTTCCTCCTTTCCCAGCTCACGTCTTGGCCAGCTTGCATGTAATCCGCTTGGCCTTGACTGCTAGACTGAGCGATAGCCCATCTCCCGTTTATACGTGTGTGTACCCGTAGTGAGTTTCACTAAGGGTTGCAGGGTCCAACGATCAGATTAATCATCATCTTACTAAACTGTCCCATAACAGGGGCGAACCCTGACAGGTGTTTATCGCTCGATGTGATGAGCTTGCGGGGCAGAACTTCATTCGTCTATCCTTGTAATTATCAGCTATGTGCAGCCATATGAGTTTTTGGACTGCTCAGAATATGCATAGCTCCATTCATTCAGTTCTAACACTATACTTTCCCACTTATTTGAAATAATGATACATGTCATACCCATGTATTGTTTCTCTATGATTCTAGGAAAAAGCTAGACGAAACCACTGCCGAGTTAAAGAGGACTTCACGAGAACTGGAGCTGGAGAAGCAGAAAACCGAGAGGCTTTTGTACCAGATGTTGCCAGAAAAAGTTGCCAACCAGCTCAAGAATGGGCAGAAAGTTGAAGCAGGTTAATAAAAAATAATGTTATAGATCGCTTTTCACAGACTACAAAAAAATTGATATTTGCATCGATAGATGGAAATCAAAACTTTTTTTTAGCTTTACAATAGTTAATTCTAATATCTAATGAATACTAATATCTGCAGTAAAAACACAGAAAACAACTGAAACAATTACTAATAAATTACAAACATTTATTGTCTGGCGCCTGCACCGATAAAGGATAATACACTGTATGATACATTCACTAATGAGGGGGTCATTGGAGAGGGTTACGTATGTTAACAGTTTCAAAATATATATTATGCTGACTTGCTAAGGGAAAGCTACTGTTGTTTTCGCTTGTTCCACTTCTAATATACTGCTCTCTTCGTTTGCTCCCCTTCTGCTCTCTTCACTTGCTCCACTTCTAGTTTACTGTTATCTTCACTTGCTCCACTTCTAGTTTACTGTTATCTTCACTTGCTCCACTTCTAGTTTACTGTTATCTTCACTTGCTCCACTTATAGTTTACTGTTATCTTCACTTGCTCCACTTCTAGTTTACTGTTATCTTCACTTGCTCCACTTCTAGTTTTTTGTTCTCTTCACTTGCTCTACTTCTAGTTTACTGTTCTCTTCACTTGCTCCACTTCTAGTTTACTGTTATCTTCACTTGCTCCACTTCTAGTTTACTGTTATCTTCACTTGCTCCACTTCTAGTTTACTGTTATCTTCACTTGCTCCACTTCTAGTTTTTTGTTCTCTTCACTTGATCTACTTCTAGTTTACTGTTCTCTTCACTTGCTCCACTTCTAGTTTACTGTTATCTTCACTTGCTCCACTTCTAGTTTACTGTTCTCTTCCCTTGCTCCACTTTAGTTTACTGTTCTCTTCACTTGCTCCACTTCTAGTTTACTGTTCTCTTCACTTGCTCCACTTCTAGTTTACTGTTCTCTTCACTTGCTCCACTTCTAGTTTACTGTTCTCTTCACTTGCTCCACTTCTAGTTTACTGTTATCTTTACTTGCTCCACTTCAAGTTTACTGTTCTCATTACTTGCTCCACTTCAAGTTTACTGTTATCTTCACTTGCTCCACTTCTAGTTTACTGTTATCTTCACTTGCTCCACTTCTAGTTTACTGTTCTTTTCACTTGCTCCACTTCTAGTTTACTGTTCTCTTCACTTGCTCCACTTCTAGTTTACTGTTATCTTTACTTGCTCCACTTCAAGTTTACTGTTCTCTTCACTTGCTCCACTTCAAGTTTACTGTTCTCTTCACTAGCTTCACTTCTAGTTTACTGCTCTCTTTATTTACTCCACCTCTAGTTTACTGTTCTGTTAGGTTCCACTACTTACTTTTTTCCCTTTACTCTTAGCTTGTTCTACGTCTTGTTTTCTGCATTCCTCCTTTGTTCCACAACTTGTTCACTTCGCTATTTTGTGTGTTTAACTCTCAGAGAAGTTTGACCGGGTCACAATTCTGTTCAGTGATATCGTCACTTTTACCAACATCGCCGCCGCCTGTTCACCCCTGGATGTGGTCAATATGTTGAACGACATGTACCACAGATTTGACCTCAAGACAAGCGAGCATGGTGTATACAAGGTATGTTTTGACCCAACAAGTCATATCACGAGTTTAGCCCCTATCTTTATTTTACTAGAGGGTTGTGATTATTAAAACATGCAGTGTGAAACGAACCAATGACACTTAGAGCGCGATGGCCTGGCCACTTCGCCATGGAGACTCCCAAGAGACTGGAACTTCAGGAGATAATATTTATGAAGACAGCAATAGATGGATGCATCCCACCTGCAATATGGAGAGGCTACACGATTGTATTGTTTGTTATTTATCTTTAAGCATCATAAGGATGTTACTTTTAATTCAGTCTGTACTTAGAAATTCCCACTATTACATTTTTGAGTTTGAAAAGTTAAAATAACAGCACAGTGAGACACAAAGTTTGAAAAGTTAAAATAACAGCACAGTGAGAAACAAAGTTTGAAAAGTTAAAATAACAACACAGTGAGACACAAAGTGTTGAAACAACATGGCTTAGTGTAGAATTTGCATGGGGAATATATTTCTCTTCAGCATAATGAGACCTTGAAGTTAATTAATCACGTTCATTGATCTCTCTGATTCTTCTCTTTCCACGTGGTGAGTCCAAATATTTGTAGGTCTGTCTTGTTGCAATCTTGATAGTCTGCCTCATGGTCTACCCCCATTACATTCTTTTGATCCCTCATTTTTTTTTTTTTTTTTTTTTTTTGGGTCTGTTATCTACTAATATTTCAGCATGTCCCAACGATTGCAGTTGATTAGCCTCGATAATGCGAGTGTTTCATCATTTATCATGCACGCTCTTATGTCTCTCTACAAATCTCGGTTCTTGACAGTCTGAATCAGTTGCATTTACCTTATTCTATTGCATGCCATGCTTTCAGAGCGCCAAGCATCGTCAATCTTCGTCTGCCTCAACATCATCTTCCACTGATGTTTCTAGTCATCAGAATGTCCTCCAATGTATCTCCTCTCATCACATGACCACAGAACACTGGCCACCTCTTTATTACAGTTGTTAAATAGTTTAATGGTTGCGCATGTGATGAGGCAAGCGGGATAAAGAAATTAGTTTGAAAAAGGTAGAAACCAAGAAATGCATGGTAACTTAGTTGGTACCGAAAAAGTTCAGATAGATGTAGAAAACATTGAAGGCATCTTCTGCATGTTCCCAAAAGGTGGAGACAATCGGGGACGCCTATATGGTTGTCTGTGGAGTTCCAGAGAAGACAGCCGTCCACGCTCAGCCTGTAGCAGACTTCGCCCTGGATATGGTGGAGCAAGCCTCATGTGTCATGTCTCCGGCCACTGGAAAACCCCTTCAGGTATTGACACGGTTGTCTCTTTCTCACATTTCTTACCCTGTACTAGCCCTACACACCTATGGGGTCCGAGTTATGTTAAAAAAAACAGCTACACCTGCTGAAAAAAAAATGTATATTAGAACATGGAAACATGTGTGGCCGAAGTAATAAAGATCATTAGCGGTGTATGTGACGCAAAACAGCATTAGGTAGAGAGAAAATAGAAAGACATGCCAGGTGAGAGAAGCGGCCAGTCAAGCTGTTACAACGTCAGGCTCTCATGCGCGAGACATGGGTTTGACCCCTCCCCGAAAAGATGATAAACGGTTTTCTAATGTGAGCAACAAAAAGAAAAACATCCTAATCACTTCTGTCTTGTTTACTGTCAATCATTGTTATAAGATGTTCCTGAAGGCCGAGCTACCACATGCATAAAGCAAACACTGTGCAATCTCCTGCAGCGTGCTTATCGGACGGGAGCACTAACACCGGAGCACATTATGTAGACCTGTCCATTGTACTTGACACACACAAAGAGAAAGGTGGCGCCAGGAGCTAAATTTGCAGAGCAAACAATAGGGAACATCCTCATCGTTATCACCATCATCATCGTCAACACATAAATCTTGCCATTTGTCATAAAATGCATAAGATGTACTTACTTTGCTCCACGATATGGACAAGAGTCCTTTACTGAACTCTTGTATTTGTTTAGATACGAGTCGGTATCCACACAGGACCTGTTGTTGCCGGAGTTGTCGGGGTGAAGATGCCCAGGTACTGCCTCTTTGGCGATACGGTCAACACAGCCTCTAGAATGGAGAGTCATGGCATGCCAGGCCGCATACACTTGAGTCCAACAACATACAAGTAAGTCGTTATCTGACTAGAGGATATTCACATGGGAAATCCCCGTATTTATAGTTGTTAAATTACACTTTATGTTGTCACATTGTGTGAACATTTAAACAGCATTCAAGCCAGTCGTTATCTGAATAAAAAGATACTCGTATGATAAATCCTTGTAATTATAGCTTTTTTAAATGTACACTTTACACAAAGGCACAGCTCTTACAAGTGAGTAAAGTAAGAAAAGATAGTTTACATAATGCATCATTTCTGCGGCAACTTATGAATTCTATGCGAGTCGTAGTCTTTTAATCGATTATGGAAGAAGACAAAAATGGAAACTTTTTTTTGAAATGTTACAGAAATAATGTATCAGTAAAGGACCCTTTTCCATGCCTTTTAGGCATGTTGGGTATATAGGGCTAGACCTTCATTATATAGGGCTAGACCTATATTTTCTAGACCAAACGGCACCTGGCAGGTGATGTGGTCGGGTGGTGATATGGTTTTTGGGCGTCCCTTTTTTCTCTTTCCCTCTGATATCCATGTGAGAGCTGTTTCGGCAGGTATATCAGAAGTCATTCTCATTTCTTGGCCAAACCATTTCCATCTTCTCTTGGTTATTATACTGTCTAGAGTTACTTGGTTTGTGACTTGAAGTAGTTTAGTGTTTGAGATTGTATCTGGCCAGAAAATTTTGATAATTCTACGTAGACATGTATGGTGGAAGGTGGACAGCTTGTGTGCATCCTTTTTGGTCATTCTCCAGCATTCCGCTCCATAAAGAAGAACTGGCAAAATGATGCTCTTGTAGAGTCACAGTTTCGTTCCTCTGCAGTAATTTTTGGATTTCCAGACTTGCATCATCCTTCCAAAAGCAGCTCTAGCTTTGTTTAGACGTGACTGTATGTCCTCTTCGGTCCCTCCCGGCAGGGACACCACACTGCCAGGATATGTGAAATGTTCTACATTTTCAAGAGTTTGGTTATTTATGGTCACTGGTTGTTGGTTTGGACTGCTTGTCATGATCTTAGTTTTCTTTGTATTTATTCTCAGTCCCACCCATAACGTTGTGTGGTCCGTGGCTTAGGCGTTGCCAGTCCGACTCGTAAGCCAGCGTACCGCGATCGAAACCCACTGATGGCTGCGTGGATTTTTTATAATGGTAAGGGTCGACCCAGCCTAAAATGGGTACCAGGATTGGCTGTCCTGGGAAAATAAAGACAGCAGGCGTAATGCTGACCACATTACCCACAGAGTGCTAATGGTCTGTAAAAATATGGGCGCTCTTCCCATATGCCCGATACGCCTAAAGGCGTGGAAAGGGATCTTTACTTTTTTTTATGTAGACATGTGTGGTGGAAGGTGGATAGCTTGTGGGCATCCTTTTTGGTCATTCTCCAGTATTCTGCTCCATAAAGAAGAAGATTGCATGATAGGTGCTTTCTATATGGTTTCCTCTGGCACATCGACGGAACAATGATAGGGTGACAAGTTTGCGTGAATTTGGAAGTGAGATTTACTGACTACGAACTTTTATTTTCTAGTTTGTTTGTTTTAGTATCCAGAAGCCATGAGTTGTTAACCCTTAGGCTCGGTATTATGGATATCGCAATCTTTCGGCCTTGATTCCATTGTAAATACCGTAAATCTGGGAGAAAATGTGGCTTTCCTGCCTACCCCCGGGATTAAACCCGGACCACAAGGAGTACGTCACCCGGTCTCCGCGAAATCCGGTTTAGTCAATTCCGCTAGAGAGCCGGGCCTTATTTTCTAGTAAAAAGTGCTTGTTCTTTGTTCACTGTCCTCCTTTTAATAATAACCTTTTCCAACGATAGAGCATTGAGTGGCCAAGGTTATCTATGCAAGTGTCGGGGAGTTACCAACATAAAAGGAAAAGGAAATATGAAGACCTACTTTCTGATTGGTAATAGACATCATGTGATTTCTGAACCAGATGACGAATACATTGACCTGGAAGTGTTTTTTGAACAAGGTAATAATTTTGTTAAGTTATGGTAAGTATTTTATTCATTTTAGATCAGTCAGTAAGACGGCTGCGTGATCTCGATGCATGGTGTTAGCCTCGAGTGCTAGAGGTTCACTGGAATGCGATTTCTAGTAATTTCCCCGTTCTCTCGGGACTGAGGTAGGACGCCAGTGTGCATTGCTTAGCTGGTAAAAGATCCCTTGGCACTTGGAAATGGAAAATCACACACACTCACAACACGATCTGTCTCTCTCTCACACACAGCTCGAAGATGCAAGGTCCTGATCTATTTATGGCACACCTTCTTCTTCTTCTGCGTTCGACATCAGTCACGCTAAACATTGAGTCCCGTCTGGGTCAAAAATAGGATTGTGCGTTTAAATTCGCCACCGGTCTCCTATAGCTTCTCTCGCAATGTTGATCCCCTGGGCCAGATCCACAGTCTTTGCTGGGAGAGGTAAGGGCAGTACTGCGGTATATGCTCAGGGGTCTGTCTTTCTGCTCCACAATCACAGGCAGCAGATTCTTTTATGCCTATCCTGTACAGGTGTGGACGAAATTCACAGTGTCCAGCCCGAAGTCTAAAAATTGATGTTTGTTCTTTCCTGTTGAGTTTATTTATGCTGTCACTCTCTGGTCTGTAATCCCCATTCTGTCTTCTCCACTCCCGCTTGAACACCTTCTGATAAGGTTAACATGAGTTCTGACACAATACCAAATTACATTGTCTTCATATGATAATGATAAACCCATTGCTACATAACAAGCATGTCGAAAAAAGGAGGACGAATTGCGGAATTTCCTAAATCGAATAAGCTGAGTCGAAAGGTGTAGCTGTAAACCCCATCGCAACCTGCCAACCGTTCCTTTAAAGGCAAACGAAGAAAAGGTTACTCATTATTATCGGGGTTTTCCCTCGGACGTTTTTATACTGGATGGAACCATTATGGGATTTAAATCTCTTGCTAACTTTTGACCACAAATATAATCAGAGACTGTTTATAGTCTAGTCGTCCCCTTGTGGGATGCAATTTTTGGTTATTTCGGAGCCCCACCCTGTCTTTTGCCTAGGGCCCTGAATTTAGCTGGACCATATAAATATGGTCTAGCCATAGATATGGCATTACACTACCCGTCCTTTTCAGGATGCAATTTTTCGTTTTTTGAAGCCCTACTTTGGCTCTTGCCAGGGGCCGCAATATAGCCTGGCCATAAATTTGGCCTAAAGGCTGAACGCGATTTCTGGAGCCTCTCCACGGTGATCCTCCCCCACATGGTGGCACTTTGTGTCATCGGGTGTTTATCGCTTGTGTGATGTCCTGGTGGGGTACAGCTAACTTCAGAAACTGTTGGCGGCTTCGGCTAGCTAGCAGTAGATTGAAAGTGATCGATTTTTTTTTTTACATGAACTTGGACTTGCTCACTTTTTATTTACTCATTCATTTTTCTGTTGTGCAATTATGTGTCGCTTAGGGCTCGGAGTCTATTTCTCCATTTCGTTTTATCCTGCGCAATTATTTGGATATCGGGGATCGAATCCAATCCAGCCCCTTTGGCTTACCTTATAAACGGTAGCCTTAGGTTCTGTTCCGGACCTTGTTTCCTCAGTCCCTCTATTTCCTATTTTATTGCCTGTCTGTAGACATTACCCTCCCAATATGGGACATATTGTTTTTGAACAGGTAAGAAGCACTAGATTAGATACTTGTCCTTTATAGGACTTTGCAGAACACCTCCCAGACATTGTTTTGGCGGCTTGTTTTACTAGGAAATTTTACTTCAGTAGTTTGCCATTGCTTATGGGTGATCAGCTCTCGATACGACTGTCGAAACCAACTCAAAGCGGTCTGCTACCGAATCGCCTGCAGCTGGGATTGAACCCGGCCCATTGGCGTTACAAGGAATAAGCACTAAGTAGTTGTGAAATATAATGGCTAAATTAATGAGTTAGTTGTGTTTCCATTCCTCATTGTTGTGACTGACATTCTGTTGTATTACCTTTAGATACTGTTGATGTGAACCCATCTGCCATGGACGGAGAATGCTGTGATGCAGACTCAAACAAATCAGCATCTGACGACACCAAGTCTATATACAACACGCAAATTGGATATGATGACGATGGCCCTAAAAACACCCCTTGCTCAGAAAACATAACTGGCGGCCTCAGCCAAGACGACATCTCTGTTCAAGACGTTCCCAGTTCTCATACCAGTCTGGAGTCTTGTCCAGGGAAGATGTTCACGTCGATCAAATCCCTGAATGACTCGAATGGAACAGAGCTCAATGTTCAGACCCAGTTTCGGAGAGTAACTAAATCAGAGAACAGCGGCGATGAAGCTTGCCCGTCGTATAGTAAAACGTGTCAAATTTTCTAATTATCACTCACACGCTGATCCTGACTGGTAGACAGACAGGTAGACATACACACATACACATAGAGATAGAGAGAGAGAGAGAGAGAGAGAGAGAGAGAGAGAGAGAGAGAGAGAGAGAGAGAGAGGGAGAGAGAAAGAGAGAGAGAGAGAGAAAGAGAGGAGAAAGATATATATATACTGAAGTACAGAAACTCACAAATACTATGATAAAAGGTTCCTTTATTTTGTTTTTAAAATTGCAGGCACAGAGACAGACAGACACACACAAATAATCACATATACACAATCACATAAATAAAATCACACACTCAGGATACAGTCTCACACAATCACAACATGATCTGTCTCTCTCTCACACACAGCTCGAAGAAGCAAGGTCCAGCTCTATTTCTATCACACATTCTGATATTTAAGGTAAGGTTGACATGAGTTCTGACACAAAAGCAAACTACATGACATCTATATGATCACGTGGAATCCTTTAACCAAGGAATATTTATTTATTTGTTTATTTTTATTATTATTGCTATGATTATTACTGCTATGATTATTACTGCGCTCCCTGAAACTAAGGTTACCCCGAAAATAACGCCGCCCGCCCCCCCCCCCCCCATCCCCACTTTCGCCTTTTTACAAGCCAAAAAAAAGGTGGTTATGCATGTTTTCAGGGAGTCGCCGTGCCATAGCGGCTAGACGCTCGCCTGCGGATCAGAAGGTCCTGGGTTCGCTCCCTGGCGGAGCCGGAATTTTTTTTTTTTTTCAAAAATGACCACCTTGGTTCCCAGGTTGACCCAGCCTTGAGTGGGTACCAGGTGCAGTCCTGGGAAGTAAAGGTAGCCGGCGTGATGCTGATCACATCACCCATCTTGTGCCGTTGGTATCTAAAATATAGGTCTAGCCCTATGTACCCATTACGTCTAAAAGGCATGGAAAAGGGTCCTTTACTTTACTAGCAACAGGATGCTCACAATAACTAAACCCAAACCCATTTATACATCCTGGCTAAACACCCCAGCCAGACGCACGGGTTTGGATCATCCGTTGAAACATATAAAAGAGGTGTGGCGTTGTAACGTAATGAGATTATTCATATATAGTTAATAAATAAAGTTATTGATATTAGGATTTTAAATAAATGATATTGTAAATTGTTTTTAAATATGTGTTAAAGCAGAACATCTATAAAATAAATTTACCACCTTTCAAAATGAAGCTTTCAACTTATTTGGAGGCAAAACCAATCTAAAACCATGCCTTCTTTTTCTGGAAACACGGTTTTATTATTATTATTATTATTAATATTATTATCATTATTATTATTATTATTATTATTATTATTATTTTAATTGTAACATTTGTGATAACTCCAAAATCAATATCCGACTAAAATTTCACAGTGGCGGGAAAGGCAATAACAGATTTTTTTTAAATTTGTTACCAATGAGCGAGCCACTGAATAAATGCGGCTGCAGGATGGTGTGTAATGAGCAAGAATACTACTGAATGATACAAGCAATAAACGGTGTAGCTATGCTAAACTGTTTCTGTTTACCAGCCAATCGGAAGTTGATTTTAAATTAATGATCGAGCTTTTACCGTTATGTAGTATTTAATGGAAACAAAGGACAGTCAAAATCAGAGATTCTGAAAAGACTAGGGATGAGAAAAGAGCTGTGGAAAGAAACGGAAGTAAACACATTTTAAATATTTAAGACAAATTAAACGACACAGCATTCTTATAATAAAAGTACTGAAGGGAAATTAGAATGCTAGCGAGCAAGAGGGAGGCAGCGGTACAAAAAAAAAAACAGTGCCACAGAGTGTGCAGGCTGAGCGAGGGAGAGAGAGAGAGAGAGAGAGAGAGAGAGAGAGAGAGAGAGAGAGAGAGAGAGAGAGACAAAGAGAGAGAGAGAGAGAGAGAAAGAGAGAGAAAGAGAGAGAAAGAGAGAGAGAATGAGAGAGAGAGAGAGCATGAACTTTATTTTCAACTAGCTGTACCCGGCCACGCGTTGCTGTGGCATAGTTTGGCTAAATAGAAATAAAAGAAAATAGAAATCGCACGTATCTAATACAATCATTGTCTGCTCAGATATAGAAATAGTCTGTGAAATTATAAGTATGCGAAATGGTCAAATTTAATTATCAACTGATTTACCCACATACTTGTTTTTTTTTTTTTTTTTTTTTTTTTTTTTTTTTTTTTTTTTTTTTTTTTTTTTTTAGTATTAAGGGCCAGATAACTAGTGCTGTCGCCACGACAGTGCAGGTGAGGATTTTATTTTAGCCCCGGGTAAAAAAATAAAAAAAAAAAAAAAAAAAAAAAAAAAAAAAAAACTTTTGCGGACAGGAGCCCAATGTTCTAACCATTCGACCAAGCAGCCACTTCATCGGAGAAACGAAAAGAGAAAAAAACTATTTGAGATGTGTGTCCCTACTACAGTGTCCCGATTATAATACAACTCAAAACAGCAGGCAATTGTTTTCTCATAGACAGATATTTAAGACATATTATTGAAACGGCACAACAATAGAAATTGCACGTGTCTAACACGGTTAATGTCGCAGTCAATGTCTGCGCCGACGTCGAGATAGGCCTTGATGCCCCCCCCCCCCCCCCCCGCCCTTCCATTCCAATCCATCGGCTACTTTCCAAC